AAACCAAACGGAAAATGGCCTAAAGTATCCCTATCGTATGTTAAATGGTTTATAAAAATCCTCAATCCATCTATCGGTCTGAAAATATATAGGACGTTAATTTTATTATCAAAATTACCCCGCAACTAACGACACTTTTATATGGGTCTCTCATTAAATGATGTGACATTCTTTTATTTGTCCACGTAGTTCAGTGGGGTTGAAATTGAATTTGGGTAAATTTTGACCCATTTAACTGATCTGACCCACTCTTTTTTATGTGGGTCAGCTCTCCGTACAGTGCGACTGCCATGAACAGTAATGCAGTCATGCTTTAATGCACACTGCTCCGCCATCCGCCGATGAAAAGCCACCGGACCACCACCAAAAGATGCGCCTTCCAATGCGCACCAACCTCAGCAAATCATTTCCCAAAACAATTCCCCAGCTGCTAGAGATTTGCAAAATGGTACTGGGATCACTGTAGTGCAAAATCGCCTGGGAGTTCAAAATGTTTCCTTGCTCGTTTCTGGGTAAAATCTAGCCATTCCAAGCACCGAGGATTCTTCTCCAGGTCCATATCGATCTTCCCACCAAAATCTGGAGGATTTCATCGTCGGAATTGGGAGCTCCGATCATCTGAACAGTCCAAAAATGCACCAGATAGTCGCGCATGGATTTCTGGTGATCCAATTGGCCCAAGACCAATGTCAAACAATTTCTGTTGTTCAGGAGATCGTATCCAACTTCTCAAATCCAAAATTCATCGGCTCAATCTCCACGACAATTCAAAAAGGTAATTCTGCAGATTTAGGATCACCAGGTGTTCGACATAATGTGTTGGTACTGATGTTCCTCAAGCTTTCATGATCATAATCAAGTCATTGGTCAACCTAATTCTCATGTAGCAATTCAATAAGGGTGATCAGGAACTTTCTTCCCCTTCAGTTCCTCATGTGGTCGTCAATGGTGTTCAGGCTGTTGAAAATGATCAGAGCCAAGTTAAGGTTAAATGGGTTGAAATTTCGGAGAGCTGACCCACATAAAAAAGAGTGGGTCGGATCAGTTAAATAGGTCGAAATTTACCTAAATATAATTTCAGCCCCACTGAGCCACATAGACAAATGAAAGAATGCCACATCATTTAATGAGAGTCCCACATGAAAGTACCGTTAGTCATGGGATAATTTTGATAATAAAATTAAGGTCCTATATATTTTCAGACGGATAGATGAACGGAGTTTTTTTATAAACCATTTAGCATACAATAACTGTGCTTTAGGCCCTTTTCTGTAAATCAAATGTCTAAAAGCCTCGTTGGCCCTACTTCTACAATATAATAAGTTGGTGGCACTTGACACAAAGAAAACACAAAGAAAGAGTAATTGATACTAGATTAATTATGATGCCATTGGAATCATAAGCCGTACTAAAAGGTGACACCACTCGTGTGATAAAAGCAAGTAGTAGAGTCTTATGTTTAAGTCTTTATTGGATTGGGTAAATATTTATTTATTTAGGTTTAAGAGTAATTGTTCACACGATTCTCGAAGCCCCACGCACTTGCTGCCTTGTTTGTTTATTCATGTCATTAATTCCTTTAACTAATTTCAAGGATTAGCTTTTTGTTCTTTACTTTTGCTTTTTCTTTACTATAGTAACCTTAATCCTAATGATTAGGCCACCCCTTTAATTTCAATGGTTAAATGTGATACCATTAGGCTACACGTTTAAGCAATTGTGTAAGCATCAACTCCCCCCTCCCCCTCCGCCCTCCCAAGTAGCGTAGTCACATAGAGTGATCAGTTGAACACCCTTCATCAAAAAATTGTATTAAGTATATAAAAAATTATAATATAAATATAACTCAAAAGTTGTACATTTTACAAATGTGTATTAAACCTTGAACACTTTTTGCAAAAATCTTGGCTTCGCCTTTGTTCCCAGTCCCTTCACTTTTTTCAACAACAACAAGAAGACCATTGAGTTCTCATCACAAATGAGGTTTGCCGGTTTGATAAGAATAATGTGTACGCAGACTTTATTCGTATTTTAAAAGAATAGAATTTTTTTTTTCTTTGGATCATCAGCTCAAGAAAAGATGAAAATAAAGTATAACCACAACCTTCACTTTTTTCCTGTTTCGTTATTATCAATGTACTTTATTGGGGGAAGGGGTTGGAGAGACAAAAAGATAGAAAAATGAGAAGAAGAATTGTAGTATGTGATCATTCATCTGTTTTTCGGTATGATTTTTTTGCGTATAGATATATCTCAATGGATAGTTGTTACACAATTTAGTTTTCTGGTATACCTTTCTTGTATAATTTAAAAATAATATAAAAAATTTCTCCAAATTAATTTATCTCAAATTTTCAATTGTACACTTAAAATTTGCGGGTAACACCCCATTTATTTGCTCAAAGTTATATTCACTTATTTTATGGAAGCAAAGAAAAGAAGGTTAAAAATTATCATATTGATGTACAACACCCTTTCACGTCGTATGTGCTTAGAATCAGGGGCGTACGCAGAATTTTTTATAAGTGCTCAAAAATGTTTAAAAAATAGAATGTCTAGGTCTAACCTCGAACCTATAACTTTTACAAACCCAAATATTAGCTTAGTCAGTGGATCACGAAATACTCTTTGCTAGGAAACGGTATCATTACTGTATATTGTCTCGTTTTTGTAGAATATTAATATAAATATTTAGTATTTTTTTCGGGCGACAATGACACCGTTTCTACCCATTTGCATCCGCCCCTGCTAAGAATGATTTTTATTAACTTTAGTCTTAAACTAAACAACTATCACAAACTTTGGCAGTACATCGTTATCTTTGTATGTGCAAAAGCTTTTGAAAAAGATATTATTTCGAATTGTCAATAAATAAAAATAATTTGTTTTCGCGATATTAAGATTAAAGATTGAAACTTGAAAGCATGCTTATGTAGGTGACGTATAAGCTTTAATAAAATAAGGTTAGGTAAATTCCATTTAGGATACATGCATGCTGGCTGCTGCATGCTTGTTTAGGTGTCCTATCAGCTTTTAATAAAACAAAATAGCCACAAATTTGGTAATTAAAAAAGAGAAAAAGCATAAACAAATCAATCGTTTAAGATAATAAAAGTGCATGCTTACATAATTTATGCGATTATTAGCTGTTGGTATAAATATTAGGTACTACTCTATTTGGCTGTTACCGTATCGTTCTTGTTGATTAAGAAACAATATTCAGTATGGACTTTTATTCATTCTAGCCATTTTATTAATAATAATTAATAGTCCTTAAGTTACAAGCAGTATCACATGATTACAAGGATCTTTAAATTTATTTTTTACTCAAAAATGGCGATAACTGAAAATGTTTGTTACTTTTGCATAATATAACAACGACTACGACTCAATCCTACAACCCCTGTCTGCAGAAGAAGATAAAAAAAATCGTAAAAAGAGTAACATTTGTGTGAAAAATTGCATCTTTGATGACATTATGTAGTGTGGTAGGTTGTGTGAGACAATACCAAGCAGAGTTAATGAAGTATTTTGGTAAATAAGTTTATTATATACACACACGGTTAAGAACTAAGTAATTTCAACCATTTCACCGTACCTTTCGTAATTTCGTTGGTCATATCAAATTTAATGAATTATGTTGGTAGAAGAAAAAGACATTATATACATACGCACATGCACGGTTAAGGGGAGGAATCCCAACAATCTCACTGTACCTCTCGGCAGAGGCGGAGCTAGAATTTCAAGCTTATGAGTTCAATATTCTAAGCCTTTTAAGTTACTGGGTTCTAAATTATTAATTTATAACTAATTAATGAATTTTTTAAGACAAATACAGAGCTTGACCAAAGCTACTGGGTTCGCCGAACCCGGAGCCCCAATGCTGGCTCCGCCCCTGCCTCTCGATGGTTATAAAGTAGAGTTAAATAATAGAAAAGACTAGTAATGGTTCAAAAGCATAGGACATACATACACACAATGGCGGAGACAGGATTTCTGCTAAGGGGGTTCAAAAAAGAAAACAATATTAAAAAGGTTGTAACTAGTGGAAATAGAACCGATGACCTTACAAAGGTTTTGAACCCCCTAACCACTAAACTATCCTTTTTGACTATGTAAAGGGGATTCAAAACATAACATATAGAGGTAAAAAAAAAACAGATTTTGCCTTATAGACACAATATAATTTTTTCGACAAAGGGGGTTCAGGTGAACACCCTTCCGCCCCTAAATCCGGCCCCACACACATACCTTCCTATTTGTTCGAAAATAAAATGCTCATTTTAAGATAAACTAAATTACAACTAAAAATTGCCACTACGGCAATCCAAAAGAAAGAGACAGCAATCGGTTTGAATTATTTTCTGATAATGAATACTTAAACCTCAAGAATCTCTACAAGTACTTTCCCAACAAAAAGACAAGTGATAAACGAACAATAATTTTAACAAGGATAGACATCTTTTTGTTCTGTTTATTGTGTTAACGCTAAGCCTTTTTCTCCCTAATGAAGACCAAATTGAAGTCTTCGACCTTACTATTAAAAGACCAAAACACAACATTGGTCTTTCAGTCTACCATTCTTGAAATACCCAACATGGCTACCACTGCCTCTGCTTCATTTTTGGGCAGAGGAAAATGAGTATAGAAAGACTACCAAAGAGGAATACTTTGCCCAAATATCCTTTTATTTGTTATTTTCTTGATTTTTCACGACCAATGAGAAGGCAGCTTTGGACGCTTATGAAGATATCGTTCTGGTAAAGATCTACACTTATTATGTATTTTTCCAGGTGCCATTTAGAAGACAGATAGTCACATACTTCAACTTGAGAATATGAAATAAGAACATTCTGATCGACTCGATTGGCTCTAGCTGTAGTTTGGCTCAATAAAGAAAAGGAAGAAAAAAAAGAGAGGACATAAAGTGACAAGCCATATTGACAAAGGAACAATTCAATGTCTGCAAATTTAGAGTATTTTTGGTGAGCAACCAAGAATGCACTAAAATCCCATGTCTATAACATAAGAAACTCAAACAGCAGTATTCATATATCAAAATGAGTTGCAATATTATCTTCTCTTTCAATAGACTGTATGAAACATAATCTAATCTATGTACAAAGGTTCAGCCAAACAGTAACTTTAATAATAAAAAGCTGTACAGTATGATACGAGAAGAGCCATATCTGGCGGCAAAAGAGGTAGAGCCGGAAAGTGATTCCCATATGTCTTGTTAGGACCTGAATTCCTTCACCAAGTATTAGTGAGATAATGACCACAAGAGTAGTAGCAATTCATAAAGTAACATCTAATCTCTGTTTGCAGATTCTCTCCCTCCTTGATCTTCTCTAGTGTCATTTGAGGATATGTTCCCTGCTTGACCATCTCTTAAGTCGTTTCGCGGAGAGTTGGTCTCTGAGGAATCTTCTTCCGGGTGCTGTGGCTCAACCTCAACAGAACTGTCCTCCTCGATATATTCAAGCAGGCCAATGGAGCCGTCCTCTTCAAGTCGTTCAGGTTGAAGCCTCAGGACCACATTTCTCACTTGAAGTGGCTGTATTAGATCAAATTGGTGTTCTGGTGTGTGTTGCTGATTAAACCTGCCAGGGAGCTTCGAGGAGCTTTTATAGCACCCCTCACAAAGGTCGAACCCTATTTTCTCCTTACAGTCTTTGCATTTGTATCGTTCCCCAACAATAGGATACATCTGCATAGAGCTCATTGTTAATGATCTCTCTTTAACAGAAGTGTATATATGTTATAGATTTCAAAGTCAGGTATATAGAGTTTGCAAAAGTAACTTACATAGAATTACTGTAACTTTCAGGCTTCTAAAGACAATTTCTCAAAAGAAAATTCAACATAGCAGGGAACTATCCTTTGTAATTCCGAAGTGTATGTAGTTTTCAAATGGGAACTATCCTTTGTAATTCTACTTTCTCTTGGGTCCTGCCTTAGTTGTCTGCTAAAATATTGTTTCTTAAAGAAGAAAGAGTCAAACCTCTCTGTAACAGCCTCATTTGTTCTGATATTTTTTGGCTGCTATAGTAAAGTGATGTTATATTAATAACATAGCATACAAATCGGTTCTGACAACTTGGCTTTTATAGTGAATGGTTGTCATACAAGGATGCTATTATAGAGAGGTCTGATTGTATTTGAGCACCTTTATGGTTTTTAGTTATTTATTATTAGTTTCAGACAAGCTCAAACTTCAATATAAGAAGAATTGATATCCTGGTACCCACATTCTGACAAATCATCAACTTCATAAAATAGGGAGATATGTAAAGAAAAAGACTTCATATTCCCATCTTTTTTCCCCCATCTTTCTGTCAATTTTACATCATAATAACCAAGTCATGCACTCTTAGGTAAATACTTTCTTTTGTTAAGATTGAATGACAATCTTGTAATGCAGTTTGAATGCTGAAAATAATCAGTTAAACATTCTCAATCTGAAAACAATCCAGGAGCCTCTTGTAGCCCTTTGACTAGTTCCCGTAAAAAACTGGAAGCATGTACAAATAGGTCAATTGGACAAGAATGAAAGAGAAGTCAATCTTACCCCACAATAATCACAACCAACTCCAAAATGAACCTGTGGTCCCCCACCCGTTAACCATGTTGAAAGATCAAATTTAGGTAGTGATTTGCAACCAGCAGCTTCATCCTGATCTCCTGTCATACAAGATAGCAACTTGTGATAGAAGGCCAACAACAGCTGAATCAAGACAATATGGTAAAAGATTCTAATTTCACCAATATCTCTGCCACCCCCGGCCACAACCCCACCACCAAGGCACCAACCCATCCTCCCCAAAAAAGGAAAGAGATTGCCGCCCTTAAAATTTGAATGATCAGTGAAACTTGAGACGGTTTCTATGTGGATTATGTATTTACATATAGACGAGCATAATGTGACAAATCTCTGTCATATTACAAATTTTAAGATAAAGAGTGGTGTAGTGATGCTATTTGTATAGTTGACATCTGACAAAAGAAGTATTAACATACGTGTTGCTGGATTTTGACGATCAGATCTTTCCACTGATGCGCTTTTCCTTTCTGCATACAACTTGGGAAATTGCTCTTCCAAGAAGTGCTCAAGAACCAAGCAAACATTGGGGTATCCATTTGGATGCTCCAATTGGCAACCTGGACATCTACATAGCTTGTCGCTAGGATTGATCACGCAATTTTCACAATAAACTACAGAAGAGAAAACAACATAGTAAGAAATGGCGATTGGAAACTAAGTAATCAACATAATAATTCCTTATCAGAAAAAAAGAAAGACAGTAAGCAATATAAGTTGGAGGAAGTTGAACTGACCATGGCCACAGTTAAGAACTACAGGTCGGTACAACAACAGTTTGCAGATCCCACAAAGCAAATCTGCGATAAGCACTTGCTTACTGCTTGCACTTGTATGCTCATCTGCAAAGTTAAGATTCTTTGACATTGCATCCTCTTTGGTTTCAGAACTTGATACTGCTGGAAAAACTACTGAGGAATGCTCTTCTTCCCCTGCTGATCCACATTTCTCTGAAGGGATGGAATGAGGTGAAGCAGTGTCTAGAACAAGATCGGTCTTGCCACAAGATTCTGATAAATAATCATCAAACTGAGGTGAAAAATATCCTACATTCTTCTCCTCCTCTGGAAAAAGGTAAAATATCAGAAAACATTATCGTTAGCATCTTAAACACTTCCCGGAGATAAGAAAATCACCAGATAATCACACTGCCTCCTTCCACAAAAAAAAAAAAAAAAAAAAAATT